CCCAAGTAAGTAAAAATCTAACCCACAACAGGGATCATTTTCAGTTTCCTACAAAGTTTAATTTCCTCAAAAAAAATTGAACAAAGGCTTTTAAAACATACCACAGCTGCATCATTATTTATTTTATATACATAAAATTTGATTATTTTATATACGATAAAACATTCATCCTCTTAGTTGAACAAAGCCTTTTAAAACATACCACAGTTGCATCATTATTTGATTATTTTATATACATAAAATTTGATTATTTTATATACATAAGTTCAAGCAATGGCTGGCCATGAGAATGGCAAGCACTAAGTACACACTATACAAAATATAAATTAAAACCAGCTGTCTGGGAAGCATACAGAAGTCTGAGAAGACTGGAAGCTTCACACTTCCTCATTTATCTTTTAATGGAAAAAATTGACATTAGCTGAAAAAGTATTGATTTTCTGTGCTGTTACCTGTGGGTAACTAAAGATTTTAAATTCATTTCTGCAGCATACCAAGATTGCTTAAAAAGAAAAATTTCAGAGTGGTCTCCTTGAATTACTTTCTGGGTCCCACAACACATACAGACATTTATTTCTGTTCAGACTTGTCCTCCTAAATGAGAAACCTGCATTTGGAAGATGCACCATTATGTTTAAATCTGCTTCAGCACGGCTGAGATGTATAACCCACCTTGACAGAAACACCAACCCAAAGTGCAAAAATATTTCACTTGCTGCTATTAAGAAATGGCACCTCACACTGCTTGTAGGCATAAGAAATGGTAGGAAAATCACCCATTTTCCTTGGTTTGCTTACACTGTGACTATCCAGGCCTTTTGTTCTCCAAGGTTTTTTTCCTGTTATACCCCCAGCCCTGGCACTACCCCCCAAGGATCTCCTGTGACCCCAAGGACCTCAGGAGAAGCACACAGGCATGGAGCACCACCAGCCTGGCCAAGAGGACAAGCCTGTGTCACCAGGAGGAGCAGTGAGCCTGGGCACAGCTCTGGAATTCCAAGGGCAGTGAATTAATAGGTGGGCAGTGACCTGTGCAGGACACACAGAATGATAAAGAGGACAAGAGCTGTGGAAGATGTCTCAGTGCAGGAAAGCCAGAAGTGATGAACACACCCCTGGTGCATTTGGATTTAAAAAATTTAGTTTCATAATAAGTTTGTACTCATTACATTTCCTTGTAAAAAACTAGATTTCACATACAGATTTAGCAATGTTGGTGGTTTTCTCAGTGTTATATCACACAGCTATGACACATTTTTCATGGCAAACTACCCAAGATTCAGCCAAGGAAGCAGAACTATGTGTTCCTCAAGATATCTGCAGCCTTAAGAGCAGTTTGTTTCCACTAGTTTCCAAAATGGGAAGGCTGCCATAGATGTTGAAGAATAAAATCTCTGAAGCTGCCATACCCCCCACAAGCACATTCAGTGTTTCTCAGCACTGAGCACAGTGCCCACAACCAGACAAAGCAGAACACAAAACAAAAACATAGTTTTTAAACTATGCTCATTACCTTTGAACTTATGCAATGGCATCAAAAAAAACCCAAAACTTCTTTGTTATGAGATACTGCCTTTTGTCTATAGATCATAGAGATCTATGAGCCTAATATACATCAATCACAGGCTCAGTAGTTCTGGTTTACTGTACATAAAGCCCCTTCACCTGATGTGAGCTAGCTGTTCCCCTTAGGGGAAATTCACCATGTTTATCAAGTTATTGTTATTATCTACCTGCATTTTACACAGCATTATTTCTTATTCCATCATTGAAATTATTTTTACTGATTTACTACAAAAAGACACGTGAAAAAGAATGAAGAAAATGTAGAATATTCTAAAGTCAATGGATTTATAATTTACAAAAGAATTCTGTGTAACTTTAAAATAATTCAAATAGTCAATAATATATAGAATAGTAAAGAGATAAAGCACAGGTTTATGACTGGTATTTGACAGCTTCATGCAAAATGATTGAGCTAAAGTGCTCACAAAGTTAAGAAGAAAGCATAAAAACCTGAAAACACTGAATAAATCTTTTAAAATGCTGAAGAACATTGAGGGGGAAATCAAATAATGAATATATCAGAAGGTAATTTCACCAGACATACTGTAAGGTGGCAGGGAATAATAGTATCTCCATGCCTTTGCCAGGAGCCAGCAGCCAAGGGCCAGTACAGCTCTGGGCTGGGCAGGCAGCAGGAATCAGAGCTGGAGGCAACAATCCCTCCCTCCTTCCTTCCTCCCCTGCCCCATGCCCTGCCCTGATACAGAGGAACATTCCAGCTATTAGAATGTGCTCGTGTCAGACAGGACAAGTGGGTGTCTGGATCTAAAAAGGTCACACAGCTGGGAGAAAAATGAGGCACTCAGCAAGGCACAAAACATCAGGAGAACTACAAGCAGTGATCTGTTACACAGCCTCTGCAGAACTGGTCTGGGCATCTCAGCTGGAAACCTAAAACACAAGGGTATGAAAAAAATATCACAGCTTTAGGAAAGCCCACATGATTACAGCTGTTTTAGCCAAACCTGCTCTTTCTAGGTTGATGCTACATTGTTTTGGGCAAAACACTATGAAAACCCAAAGAAATAGATGAATAGGAATTCATTTATTTTAAAGGCAAAAAATCCAACACTCTCTCCTCTTCCTAAAGTAGCTCAGAAAATTTAGGCAGGCAGACACACATGGCAGCTGCTATGGAAAGGGTAGGAGCTATGAACCCAAGCTGCCATGTCATTGCTACATTTCAAAGCATCTGCAGATCCAACCTTTGCATCACCAGAAATGGCAATCAAAAAGCATATAATAGATTACTCCTGAAGCTGTTTCTTTCCCTTAAACTCACAGATACTGCACAAGCATGTGGAGCTACTGGAGAGACTTGTAAGGGTCTCAGGGTTGGCCAGCTGGGCTAATTCTAACCCTCATTTCTGACTATGTTTGAGGCCTTCCCCAATAATCCTCAATACACATCAAAAGAAAGAACAACCATTATTGTATTAATTAGAGACAGAAGCCACTCTTTTTATTAATTGTAAGCTCTGTCACAAAACAGTATTTATGGTGACTGGGCAAGAGGCAGAGCATGCAGCTACTAGAGAAAATACCTTGTCTGGGTTTTTTAAAGATTATTTTGCATTGCAAATAATAATTGCATTGTCTTGCATGTCACTGAACTGCATACTGCAAACTGACCATGGGTTTTCTATGTAGGCTACACTACCAATTATTAGGAGAACCAAGAAAAGCCTGCTTAGTGGAACAGCAAGTAATTTACATTTAGCTTTCCACAGCATATTTGCACACCCACACAATATAGGTCACAGTTAAGGAGAGTTAGAGAACTCTTTTTTTTTTCCCCCTTCAGTCAGAAAATGCATTATTTTTTGCCCATGATTATGTCATCCAAGAATATGACACCAGGTAGCAACTGTGACCTGCCTATACTTCCTAGAAGTTACACACAGAGCAGAGTTGTCAGGCACAAGTGAATATAGAAAGACAACTTGTATTTAACTTAGAGGAAGAGGGGGAGAAAGGAGATGGGTTTTAGCATTCTTCAATCATTACACAGAAAGAAAAATAATTTGTCTGGCTACAGAGAGACTCATCCTCTGACTGCTCTATTTCATATCATTCCTATCCTTCTGTTTTTGGCAAACATCTTATGAAGCTTGCTCTCCAGAAACAGAATAAATTCCAGAAGCATGGACTTAAACAGAAAAGCAACACAATTACTTACCAGAGGGATGTACACACCATGTTCACATTGGGGTCAGAGGGATTTCACCATGACTCAACACCAACTGCTGCTGTTTCAGATCCCCACGCTGTTTTATGTTGAAGCTCCTTCCTTTTAACTAAGTATCATTTCCAACATTAGCCACCACTTTGTCACCCAGCTGACCCACTCTACTCTGAAAGAAACATTTGTCACTAAACTAACCACTCCAGCTTGCCATTTTCAAGATGAAAGTCCCTTTATCTAGTCCATTTCTTGCCATTTCTGTAGCTCTCCATCAGTGATTCTGCCTTTCCCCTAGATTTATCTTTACCAGGTGACAACACAGCTAACTGGCTCCCTAAATACCAGCTTATAAAAGAAAATAAGTTGCTTCCTATCATTTTTCCTGAAAATAAATTAAAGAAACTTTTATCTTGTGCTAAAATCTCAAAAAATTGTAATCTAAGAAGATGAGCCACAGCCTCTCTGGGTTAATTTCACTCCCACTTCTCCTATAACACTGCCATTTCTTTGCAAACAAGGTTGAATTTGATTTTCAAAGGCAGAAGGGAAGAAACAGTTAAATGCTGTTTTCCTGAAAAAAAGATCAAAAGGGTGCCAGACATCCCTGAGAAGGTCAGCTACAAAAATCCTAACAAAGTAGAAGTGAGAGCAAGAGTGCACTTGCAGTCCCACTGCAGATGCAGGTTGACTACACACAGGACAGACACAGTAAAGGCAGAGGTGAAACAGGAAGAAGAATCATCATCTGGAACCATTCCTGTAGAATGTTAATAAAAACTTCTCTTGACCCAAATTCCATTTAACATCACCTCATCCATACTGGGTTTGTCACAGGCAAAGAGGCTGGGGTGGCAACAAGAATTGAGACACCACTGCATCACATAATCTGAATAAAGTTGTGTTATATTAATCAGAATGAGTGTGAAATACCTATCCCAGCTTGTCAATCTCATGATACACAAAAATCAAGATCAGGTGACCCTGAGGAACAGAATGTCCAGCTGCTCAGTGTGTCCAAGTCCTGAGCAGTGGCCTGGACCTCAACCCAAGCTCTTCCCTTCCAAGTGGCATGGCCCTTGTCACACTCCCCCACACCTGGGGCTACTGCTTTATTTCCTTTCTCATTTATTTAGCCCTTTCTCATTTAAACTGTCAGCACGAGCCATGAAAGTCTCACCAATTCCACCGCCTGTATCTATGGTCAATTAGCAGTCACCACAAAGGTTTCTGTAACTCTTTAGGCTCCCACCTCAAATATTTTACAGGAGGCAGGAGCTGCTACAGAGCAAAGTCCTTCTATTGTTTTTGATTTTCCAGGGTTGATCAGGTCAGCTGCTGCTGGGCAGATGTAGCCAAGGCCTCCTCTGAGCAGGTAGGCTTCACTCCATGGCACAGGTTTCATACAGACTCTTCTTTGGGCAACCTGAGCTCGTTAGATTTTCTGTTGAGAAATGTTTCAGTTCATCATCTGAAAAAGTGTATCACATTCCAAGATAAGGTTTCTTGAAATCAATCTTTAGATCATTCTTAGACAAATGTTACCTACTTTGGGTTGACTTGTTTTTGTAACAAAGCAATCCCAGAGCTATGCTCTACTGTACTGATGTAAAGGATCCAATGCATCATTTTAACACCTCTGCATCCTTCACAATCATACTGTACCTTTTGTTTGCTTCCTTCAACAACTACATTGATATGGCAAATTCAACACACAAACATACACCCCCCCTCAAAAAAAAAGTAAGCATTTACTTTAGTATTCCACTGTGAAGAATTTTTTTTAAAATCTCATTAAACTTAGCTGACGAAAGAAACACAAGCCTGAAGGAAATTCTTGGAGAAATTCCTTTTTGAAGTCTAATTACCCAGAGTAACATTTCCCATGAAAATTATCTACAGAAACCGCTGCCTTTTCCTTTACCAGCATAGTCAAAAGCTTCAAAACCAGAAAACATTTAGTACAAGGAAAAAAAAAACAAAAAAACCACCAAAAACTAACTCCCAGAAATCTCTAGGAACTGTTTGAATTGTTCAGTATTTAAAAAAAAGTATTAGAAAATACAGGAGTAATGTACAAGTGTTTGCTGCCCTATACATGAGGCAGAGGGGCTAATTAAACCATTAGGACAGGCTCATTTTATACATACACCCACATTAAAAATATAAACACACACATCTTTAGCAGGAAGGGGCTGGTCGTTCCTTCCCATCTCCCACTGCAGACAGCACGTTCTCCAGCAAGGCCAGGCACAGAAGACTGAGACAAAGACACTTGGTAAAGAAGCATACATTTCCAGGGAAAAACCCCTGCTGATATCCCAAGTACTTGGAAGAACAAGAGCAAAATCATTCACTTCCATCACACCTAGAAATCCATCAGTAGACTGTGGCTCAGCTGAACTGTACAGCACCCAGGGGCACACACAGTCACAGTCACACCTGTGCCAGAGGACTAAAGGAAGAAGTAGCATGAACACTCTCTGCTCATCTGCAGAGTGGACTGGAGAAAGAAGTGGCAAAAGAAAGCAGTCTCATGTCTGCCACCATTTGGAAAAGAGCAGGAGGCCAGGGACTGCCCTATCACACAAGTCATGGAGCTTTAACTTTCCACAGCCATGGCAGCTTTGTAATAATGCTATATTTGAGGTAATGATGTCCAAATTGCTTCTCAGATGCAGAGCAACTCTGACATCTGTGAGTAAAGTGAGTAAAGTTGTGCTTTTGACGGCTGTATAAAAACCACATCTGAGCATATAAATATACAGAGTACAGCCCTTGAACACCAGCACGTGGAAAACACCCCACACATGTTCCTACAAGTATATGCAAACCAGTGCTCACATCACAGACATTTATGAATGAGCTCCCAGAATGGGCTAAGAGCAAAAATACTCCAGCAATAAGCAAGGCTGCAGACAAGGCCCCCAAGAGTAGAGCTCTAAGCGCTCTGGAGGATCTGAGAGCACAACAGCAAATTAATGGGAAGTGGAAGAAGCAGGCTTGATGAGCTACAGTACAACAAAGGGTTCCTCTTTCAGCCTTCAGCAGCAAGGGGAAATGTTTGGGGAATCTTCAGTAACAAACCCTCCAACCCTGATTTCCAGATATACACCCTGCCATGTACTTGGAAAGAAAAGGTTGTTTAAATATAAACCTGTTACAGTTTTCAAATAATCAGTGTTACAGACAGCTCTGTTAATTTAATTAAGGCGGAGAGAAAAGATAGTCTCCTTGTGTAGTTTTTTTTAAAATAAAAGAAAACAGTATTTATTATATATACACAAAAATGCTTCACTAAACATATAAGATCCATAACAACGACATCTGTTTAACCCCAAAAGGTCAAGGTCATGTCACTTACACCAAGCTAAAAAATCTAATTATAGTATCTACAGCTCTATGGGCAAAGTCTGGTTATTAGAAAAGAACTATTATAAACCAAACACAATTACACTGTAGAGAAACCATTAGATACTTGATGAGATTTTAATCTTTGAGCTGGTATCATTCTGTAAGTTAATCATCTAGAGAACAGAAAATCTGTTAGGAATACAATTAAATGTACTAGTTCCATTAAAATTGAGCTGACATAGTTAATTGTAGTCCTAAAATAGCAATTTCCTCACACCTTCACTAAGCAATTTTTTTTGCATCTACTGAGTAATAGTCTATTTAAGGAACACTTTTCACTTAAACCCTCAAATAAGATTTGTGAATACTTTTGTTCTCTCACGCTACCCCATACAAGTTGCACTGATGTTTGCTATTTGACCTTGGCTTCCTAATTTGCTCTGAGAAGTCCAGCAAGGTCTTTTGTTTCAGTTACTGTTAGTCCACGGTACCTGCATTGCTGAAGCTTTCGAGAAGAAAATCACCAATGCATCCTCCCAGCACACGGCAGCAATTAGAAACTGACATGAAATGACGAGCCAATGGCAAAGCTCACGTCATACAGTCATTTTAAGCATCAGCACTTCTGGCAAACACATGATTTCCAAACATCAGTTTTAATGACACCATATCTCTTCAAAGTGCTTGGAAGGGATTTGGAGCCTTACTAGCAAATTGGGAATAGAGGCCATCCTGCCTTTTTTGGAGAGAAACAGGATGAAAACAAAAAGGTATCCTAAGAGTGCACCAACTTGGCAATAGCTAATCTGCGACTGAACCTCACAGACCACACAGTTTTATTGGAGCATTTTAAATTGCTCTGCAGGGAAGGCAGAAAAAAATCACGACTTCGGGGAGCGCCGGGGAAGCCGGGGCTGACACCGGCGCATCCCTGCGCGGATGCCGTTACGTACCCCCGGCCCGGCCCCGCCGCTCCGGATGCTCGGCTGCGCCCCGGGGCCTCAGAGCCCCGGCCGGGCCGGGCCGCAGCCCGAACCCCGGCCCCGGCCTCGGCACGGCTCGGCACCTCGCCGTCCCTCCCGCAGCCGGCCCGGTGCGGCGAGCAAAGCCCCGAGAAAGCGGGCAGCGGCGGGGACCGCGCAACGGGCTTCGGTCATGACATCAGGTCTGGAATGGCACGGGAAAGCACGTGCTGTGCGGGAGCAGAGCGAGCTCCGGGCCGGGCCGGGAGGACGGTGTCAGACAAAGGGGTGCCGCCGAGGCACAGGGCTGGCAGCAGCAGCCCTTCCCCACCCAGGCTTGGTGACACAAGCACGACACCCAGCCGTGCACCGTCACCCTCCCGCAGTGGTCACTGCCTTAGCTGATCAATCTTTGTCCTCTGATAATGGGAGGTTGTAAAAAACCACATTACATGCGCCAGAAAGCTGCCGTAGGAATAACTCCTCTGATTTAATTTGTATTAGGTTGTTGTGCTTTGGTAGGTTGTTTTGCTTTGGTAGGTTGTTTTTGGGGGATGGGGGGTTGCCTTTTTTTTTACCTGTAGATTCTCCATCACAGTTTTTTCAACATCCTTCATAGCTTAAACACACCTTTGGAAAGGGGAAGCTGGACCGTCTTGTTTAGACAACCCATGGAGTGGAGCAAGTCACCCTGCTGTGGAGCAGGCAGGTTGTAGGCTCATCTGTCTGGCTGATGACATGCTGGTCCTTCTGCTTGGCATGGTCACCCCCTGTCCCCAGGGCTGGTGCACCTCCTGCCCTCCAGAGATGCCTCTGAGGCCTTTCTTAGCAAACTGTACTCGGACTATTTACATCCCCACCTCAGCCCTGCTCTCTGGTTCACAGTAACAAGATTGGAAATAGATGTTGTCATCCAAGAAAATCAATTGAAATCCCTGGAGAATTAGATGCCACCGCCAGCAAATTTCAATAAGAGAATGGGGGGAAAGGGCAAATACTACAGAAAAAAAATAGATTTACAGAATTCTGTAAATTATTGAACCTACACTACTCATTAGGCAAAGACAGGCTGTGTGATGCTGATTTATGTTTTTCCTATTTCTCAAACTAGCAGTTGCAGATTTGGCAGTATCATTGTGCAACAAAGGGCATCCTGGCATACAAGAGCCGTAGTCATTTTCCTATTAAAGGAGAGACCTCCATAGAAGGATCTCCTGACATAGTATTTTTTGTCTAACTTCTCAGATAAGCTTCTTGGGAAAAAAGGTTTATTCGTTCAGCTAAACCTGCAAGTTCATTTTCAATGTGAATGAATAAAGCTAGGAAATCCATTAAGTAACACCTTTTTTTTTTTTCCTTTTTTGTGTTCAGTTTCCAAAAGCTGGAGCAGGAAAAACATTAAGCGGGACTTTGGTGGGTGTCAGAGTAAGTTTTCATGTAAAATCCACAGAAAGATTAAGTATGAAGCCACACACATTAGAGAACACATTTAAGATTGGATTATTAGAGTGCAATGCCTCTCCCTCAGTTAAGGTGCAAATGAGGCAATGTGCCAATGTCAATAGTACATTGGATATTATTTACCAGTAAATGGGGAGGAGAGAGAAAAATAGGAAAAAAGAAGCAGGGGGCATTGGGAGGGAAGAGAATGACAGAGAGACATCACTGTGTCAGAAAGATATCATCACCTGTGGATCCAGACTCCAGAGGGCATCCTGTTACTCCTTCTGGTCTTCCCATTGGGGGCGTGCCATGACATGTAGAGTTCAATGGGTTAATACCTTTAGGTGTCCATGGGAACGCCCAAGCACCTCCCCTCCATGGGAAGGGATGTTTTACACTGTCCTTTGCTACACTTGATCTGTTGCAACATTGTGGATGCTGTGCAGTCCCTTGGTGGAAGGCCTCAGAAATGAGTCTGGGTGTGCTTTGGGGGTCTTTAATGGCTCACACATGACAGTGCCTCTGACATCAGCAAAGTCA